ATAATTTGAAGTTGTAGATGTAACCATGCGTAATCGAAAATAATTGACAAATGGAGTTAGGCCACTTTCAAAATAAACGGCTCATATATGTTACCATAAATGATCAAAATTGGAGAATGTCAAGATTCACATGATGATATGTCAACACATACATTGGATTTATTCTTATACAATTAATATTTCTAGCATACACCAAAAACGATCATGTAAATCCTTGACATTCTCTAATTTCGGTCTTTCACGGGAACATATACACCATGTATAGAAACATTATAGAGAGAACACAGAAACAAATAATATTATACTAATTAAATTAATCGCAAAATCATTTATCTTCTTTTGTTTTCCAGTGTTCGCATTCCGTTTCGGGGGACTTTTCGGAACGTGTGGCAGCATTATTACAGACATCTTCGACGCAAGACGACTGCTAGTTTTCAAAGGGAAGTATCTGAGTCATCATACTCCATCTTCCAAATACAAAACCCTTCGGAACGGTGGCAGAAGTTATTGAAACAAACTCAACAACAACAACAACAACAACACACATCGTATAAACATAAGACGTATTAATCATTCTTGTCAAATTAATTCGTAATAAAAATAATATTAAAGCGTTTAATAATAATAATAATAATAATAAGATATCGTATGTACGTAATAATAAAAAAAAGTAAAAAAATTGAAGTAAAAAAGAAAAGAAGAAAAAAGCAAAGAACAAAAAAAAGAAAATAATGAAAAAATAAAAAAAACAAAATAAGTAACACGAGGAAAATCATGAAAGCTTTCGTTTTTTTTTTGTGTTGGGAGGGGGAGGGGTGGGAGGGATTATCGTTACGCGTGTAAGATAATATATAATAAGATGATATTATTATATTAGATAAGAGTAACAAATCGTCCGATTATTTTCGCACGTTGACTCACGTATCATCGAATATCCATAATAATATAATGAAATTGACTATAATAATCGTAGAAATAGCAAAACATTTTGCTCGAGTCGACGTCGAAGTTTCTAAACATTGCCTAACGCATATGAGCCATAAACGATAGCACGAAGGATCGTTATTATTATTAAAATTCGATATCAATGATGATCGGGTTTTACAATTGATGAATCGATAGAAAATGATAAAATATATCCATTGTATAAGCCAATATTGTTATGTGTGAAATTTTCAAGTTAAAACAGGGAACAAATTCTTGTGTAAAAGAGATTGGATTGCGCTAACTGAATACAACAAATTGAATTCTGAAAAGATTGAAAAGGTACGATATTGTATCTCTATCGAAGATATTATTCTATAAAAAGGAAGAGAGAAAGAATGAGAAAGAAAGATAGAGAGAGAGAGAGAGAAAAAAAGAATATGATATTGGTATCGATCATTTATTCAAGACTGATAGAAAGTTATATAAACTGCGTCAGTCAATTTATTATATAATAAACTAAAATATTCTGTTACTATTTATATTTATGATATCATTCAATTTCAACACGCATTTCAAATACTATAACACAAATACGATTTTTAAGAAAATGTAATTAAATTTTACGTATGCTCTGTATGTATGTGTGTGTGTGTGTGTGTGTGGTTGTGTGGGTGTCCGTGTGTTATCTAATAAAAAAAAACGTCATTATTAAAACAATATCTTTTTAAACGTTAAATTATTAAAATAGAAAGAGAGTGAGAGAGAGAAGCGGAAAAAAGTTTGACACGTAGTAGTAGTCGTGATGAAAATAAGCGAAGCGATCAAAGCAATTCGGGTTGCTCATTTGTCATAATTAATCACAGGACTAGTCAGCCGGTGTCACTTTATTGGCTAAACTTACATGCCACGCTTACATGATATATAACGGCATCTTAGAATCTTCGTAAAATTGCTTTCACTTTGGTTGTGAAGAACGTAGTAGTATAGGGCAAGCCAAGAACTTAGGCTTATATTTTCTCTCATCATTTTAACATTACATTTAAAAAAAGAAAATATATATATGTGTATATATATATATATAAAATGATCGATTTTTCGCGTGCGTAAAGAAGGGGGACTAATAATACAAAAAATGATTGACTGACGTATACACCTACTGATTACATATACACTTAATAAATACTTAAAACTCTTTTGAGTATAAAGTTATTTAAAAATAGAAAAATAAAAAGAAAGAATAAAAGAGAAAAACAATTTCACAAGAATCTTCGTTTTGTTCAATTATCAACAAAAGAAAGAAATATGAACAAAAAAAAGATATCGATGAACGAACAAATTATAAATAAAAGAGGATAAACACAAATTTATATATCCTAAATAATAATAATATAACTAATCAAAAATGCAATTACATATAAAGGTTGTACACCATCTTTTTACTAACATAAGAAAGAATAGTTGAGTATAATATACATATACATATACATATATATATACATATACCGTGGTAAAATCTTTGGGGAATGGAACTCGACTAGACAATGATCGTTCCGCTCGTGATCAATGGATGACACTTGAGTCTGAAGGAGGCACAAGAATGGTAGGGGTGGTAGCTGCTAACCGAAAAGAGAAATTGCGAAATTCTCTTGTCATTTGGGGGTAGAAGGGGCGGGGGCGCGGGATGGTGGGTAGGGGTGGGGAGCCCGCCATTGTGCAGGCCACAACTCCGGAAGACTGGTGTATTGTTTCACGATGGAAAGTAGCGAGCAAGCGAACCACCCACCCCCACCCCCAACCCCCTTCCACCCACCCCTTCCTCCACCATCTTGGTATGAAACGAAACACACGGTGTACTCTCCCTTGGAAGACAAATGAACGTTCTTCCATAGCATGAAGAACCTCCTTACCCTCCGTCCACACCCCCCCAACACCCCTTTGAACGCGTACACGCGCACAAACTCAACTCTAAAACTCTTGGTCTAGGTAGTCGTTCTCTGATATCACTGCTCTCTCTCTCTCTCTCTTTCTGTATACTATTACTATTACTACTACTACAACCATAATCACCATCACCATCGCCATCACCATTACTATCAACATTAACCCTACCGTATAATATATCCCACTACCAACAAACTTATTCGGCCCGTTTTATCCGTCGATCAGAGAAAGTTTCGTGGAATTAATTAGGGGCATGTTAAATAAAAAAAGAAAAAAAATTTAACAAAAAAAAAAAAAAAGAAAAAAGAAAAAAAAAGAAACCTTCTTCTCTCGTATTGCTTACGAAGAAAATCGCATCGTTTATTTCGTTTCGTTTTTTTTTTCTTTTTGCTTTTTCTTGTTCTCTCTTTCGTTTTCTTTCTCTCTCTCTCTCTCTCTCTCTCTCTCTTACTCTTATTCTTTACTTTTACATTGTTTTTTTATTCTCCCATTTTGTTTCTTTTTTCGTTTAGATACCCCTTTCTCTAAATTTTCATTTTCTTCATTACTTTCCCACGAAAGATCGCGTATGCAAAAAAAAAAAAAATAAACAAAATAAAACGAACACTTCTTGCTATCATCGAGATTACGGTTAAAATAGTTTTAAACTATTTTTCTCGAATAAAGAAAGTCTTAGAAATATCGCTTTTTGATGTATCATTTTTGGAACGTTATTTATTTTAACACTTTAAACAATCACGAGAATTTATTATAACGATTTTAAATTATTATCGATAATTCGAATTCGTTATTATTTTAATTTAATGTCCGCACGAATAATTGTAAGAATTTTTCAAGAACTTTTAATACGTAAGGTTTTCAATTAAATTGAACGATTTATTTATTTATAAGAGACTAGCTTGTAATTTAGCTCGTAAAACCCAGCTGTCCTTGGCTTGTTACCATTCTTTCTTATATACATAAATACATAATATATATATATATATATATATATATATATATAGTACCGTGAAAGAACAAAATTGAAGAATATCAAGATTCACATGGTTCCTTGGTGTATACACAAAATATTAATGTTTAAGAATAAACTCAAATATTCGATCTTCCATCGACATATTTGGTATGTATTGACATTCAACCATGTGCATCTTGACTTTTTCCAATTTTGATCCTTCACGCTAACATATACATATATATAAGAATTACGTCAAAAAATTAACGGTCGTGTTAAACAATAATGGTCGCGTATTTAAATTGACAAATGAATCATTCTTAATATATCGTCAATATATTTTCATTTTTCAATGAATACTTTTCAACAAATATCTTTTTTATTTTTCTATTTTTTATAACGTGAGATTATATTCCTGAAAAGAAACTAAACACGATCATACCCATACTCGTATATTTATTTCAAGCATGTTTCCTCCAGATATGGGTTTCGTCATGGTACACTGGTTTTCTACTGGGCATAATCAACGTACTTGGGCCCAAAGAAATACTCGAACCGTAATTACCTGTTAATGATGACAAGTATATTTGATTACCATTGTGATCTTCCAGCAGGTCCTGTCATATTCATAAGGAACATACCAGGACCTCCTGAATCAGCTGATTCTAAACTGCTATCAAAAAGTGGCTCTTGCATTCCAGGATACATAAGGCCCATAAACTGTGTGTGGATTTCATTTATGAATGTGCGAACTCCTGGTTGTGAGCCAGCGAGATACATTAGGCCCATAAACTGAGTGGACATCATCTACGAATGTATGGGAAGGGGTGACTAGGGGTGTTGAGGGGATGATTGTAATGAGAAGTGTGTGAACGGAATTTGTTACTAGGGAAAAATACTGGGGGCATTGAACTGCTAGGCATACACATATATATATATACGTATACACACACATATATATATTTATATATAAAATATATATATATATATATATTTGCTTGAGAAATCTTTTCTTTCTTTTTCTTTTCTCTTTTTATTTGAAAAGCAACTTGCTTAGAAAGGCAACCTGAGCACAGCTGGGTTAAGGATCAAAAGGATCTGATTAAATTGCTTCTGCAGGATGCGTTCACAGGTGTGACATTGACGGTAACTGGTGTGTCGCGAAAACGCATATCGCTGAGAGTTGAACTTTTGTTTGAAGAGTTTGGATTAAACCCAAGAGAGATGGGGATTATTCCAAGCGAAATGGGAATTTATCGATAGATAACGAACTAAGAGTACGGATAAGGATTAATAGATACAAGAGTTAGAATAACGATATGTAGAAAGTTTCTCAATCGTTTAATTAGTAAATACGCAAATTGATCGCATATATATATTATACATTTTTTTTTGGCTTTATTTGTGAATCAGATTAAATATTAATGACGAATATTGAAAATTATTTTCAAAGTGGTCATTGTGATTACAAATTTTCTTTGTATATATATATATATAATACTTTTGTACATACTATTAAAAATGTAATACAAAAATCTTGACACACACACACACATAAAATTTTGATTATTTTAATTTTTGTAATATAGCTTCGACGGGGTCAGATCGTTAAATGCGTTTTTTTATTTTCATAATATAATTTGTTAAGATTATATAAGAAAAAGAAAAGAACTGTATTATACATAATACCAATTGCGCTTAAATTTGTATACGTTATTTTGTACATCATTAGAGCTTTTTAATAGACTTATAGTTAATCACACAAATTTTAACAACAATTAAATAATTACGAATTTATAAACAAAATGAAAAAACCATTTTGTCAATTTGTGATGTAAGTTTGTTTTTATATCAATCTATTCAATAGTGGTAATCATACGTAATAAAAACTTTCTCAAATATCTCGTTTTTTAAATCAATAGAA